CTCCATCAACCATCCAGTTACTCCGCTCAGCAGAAACAAAAGCTTTGAATGTGCTCGTTGTGAAAGACATCCAAAGACCATAAAGGCAGAGAAACAGAAGTAGGCCATTCAGCCCATTGAGTCTGCTCCACCATTCAATGAGATCATGGCTGATGTGATAATCCTCAACCCCACTGTCCTGCCTTTTCCCCATAACCCTTGATTACGTCCTGATCAAAAATCTGTCTATCTCAGTCTTGACTATACTTAATGGCCCAATCTCAATAGCCCTCTGTGGTAAATAATTCCACAGGTTTCATTTGATTTATTGTAGTCACGTGAAAAGTTTTGTTTGCAAGCAGTACAGGCAGATCACAGTAAGCAAGGACATAGAGATCATCAGGTGCTTAGACAGAGTGAAGCATGCAGGTTACACTACACAGGAGGTGTGCCAAGCAAGATCAACATTAACATGATCAACATTATTTGAAGTTAGAGAGTCCATTCATCAGTCTAACAATGGCAGGGAAGAAGCGGTTCTTGAACCTGTTGGTGTGTTCAAACTTCTGTATCTTCTGCCCAACGGAAGAGGTTGTAGAAGGTCATTACTTTGATGATGTTGACAGCCTTTCCACAGCAGCAAGCCGTGTAAATGGAGTCCATGGATGGAAGGTTCGCTTCTGTGATGGTCTGGGCTGTGCACACCACCTTCTGTAATTTCTCACAGTCCTTGGCAGAGCAGTTGCTGTACCAGGCTGTTATGCACCCATATGGTACAACTATAAAAGTTTGTGAGGGTCCTAATGGACATGCTACCCTGTGAGAAAAGAAATTCCTCATCTGCATCTTAAATGTGCAACATCCTATTCTGAGATTATGCTGGATGATGTGATAATAAGCTGTGAGAGCTGATGATCTGCCATGTCATGTTGTGATACCTATGTTAGCTCCCGTAACATAAAGAGGAGACAAAGGGTCACGTAGAACTGAGGAATTCAATTAACTTTTATCCAGCTTCTGGTACCTACATATGCACACCAAAATCACAGACAGTTGTGTATCGAGGCTCAAACAAAGTAATTCTGCTGCAGCATAACACTCAGCACGTCATGCTGCAAAGGAACAGAGCTCAGCAAGATGGAGACCGAGAACTTTCTAACATTAAGGGAAGGTTCACAATGTCATCACCATATCATGGTGTAGGACCTAAAGGTATAGCACATTTACTGCGAGACATACCAATAATGGATATTCGATGCACTGGTACAACTGCAGTTTGGGTTTTAGTTTATTTGCAGGAGTCTCTTGATCTTATTGATGATATGGTGCCTGAACATGCCCTATACCAATAAGCTGCATTTTGTACAGAGGTCACAGAGACCCCTATTCCATACATTATTGATCAATAACATCACTCCATTCTGATCTATTGCTTTCATCAAAAAGCAAAAAATAAAAACACCCCAAGAAGTTGAGTATGACACGGTTTTACATTTGGAAATTACCACAGGCTTTAATTTTATCCTATCAGCCATGGAGACTATTACTGCCATAAATTGCACCTTCTCACATCCTACAGCTCATTACTAGAACATGTTTCGAGCTTTTCCATTCCCCAGTCCAGCTGCTGGGCAATCTGTAATGCTTGCTTGTTGCTAGTGTGATGTGATTGGCACTAGTTATTCTGTCACCAGTTCTTCTGTCACCATCTGATGATGGATCACTGAACACTGGAAATTTTGTCATCAAAGTCTTCTGGTAGTCTCTTCCAGGAGAGGAAGATGGCCGTTTTAATCAACATTTTTGTTGATTGGGAGGGACCTCCCAAGAATTGAGGTCCACAGCAGAGAAAAGGGATGGGGTAGCCTTAAGGACCAAGTCTCATCCTTTTGGCATGTTCACTTCCCATTGCATAATGTGTCCTATCATGTGGGACAAACTAATGACAAGATTGAGAGCTAAATGTAGACTTTCAGGAAACATTACGGGCTGTCATCAGCAGCAGATTTGTTTGCCACCATAATCTGTAATAGCAAGGCTGAAGATACCATTCAAACCTCCAACAGAAATGTATAGCCAGTAACTCACCTCCTGACTCCCCAAAGCCTGCCCACCATCTACAAGGCACAAGTCAGCAGTGTGATAGAATACTCCCCACTTACATAGATGGGGACAACCCCAACAACACTCAAGAAGCTTGACACCATCCAGGACAAAGCAGCCCGCTTGATTGGCACCACATCCACAAGCATCCACTCCCTCCACCACCAACGCTCAGTAGCAGCAGTGTGTACTGTCTACAAGATGCACTGCAGAAATTCACCAAAGATCCTCAGACAGCACCTTCCAAACCCACAACCACTTCCATCCAGAAGGACAAGGGCAGCAGATACATGGGAATACCATCGCCTTCAAGTTCCCCTCCAAACCACTCACCATCCTGACTTGGAAATATATCGCCGTTCCTTCATTGTTACTGGGGCAAAATCCTGCAATTCCCTCCCTAATTACATTGTGGGTCAACCCACAGCTTGGGGGACTGCAGCAGTTCAAAAGGCAGCTCACCACCACCTCCTCAAGGGGCAACAGGGAATGGACAATTAAATGCTTGCTCAGCCAGTGACACCCATATCCCAGGATGAATAAAGTAACACATCCATCAATGCAAGAAACCAACATGGGTTCAATGTAGATATTGAGGGTTATGCAAACCTAGGCATTCCCCAGTAGGAGGTTGGAACCTAGTGAAGCTACATCACAGGGCTGTTGGCATTGTAAGCTCAAATAAACCACTGCTTTGATGCAAGGTCTTCGACCTGAAACTTTCACTCTGTTTCTCTCCACAGATGCTAGCTGTCCTGCTACATTTTTCCAGTTTTATTTGTATCCAACAAAGTAGGCTATGGATAGTGTTCAGTGATTTCACATTCACAGCACAAAGATTTCAAGTCCTACTGCATCTGGTTAAGAAAGGTGCTGGTCATCCAGGCAGCTAACAGGAGGAGTAGGCTCCATGAGCATTTCAATCCTCAATCTGCTGGTAGTGCTAAAGGTGGAGTTCAAGTATTTGTAAGTGTCTTCAGTCAAATGTGTTGGGTGAGAGATCCTATTCAGCCTTTGCCTGAGACTCCTCTCCTCAGACACCAGGGCGTAACCAATTCCATTCATTCAGAAGCTGCTTACAGGGCAGGATACACAGCTGTAGTACTGAAACCTGTATAGGTTAGAAGGATGCTCCACATGCACAGCTGTCTCAGTATAGCTACAACACTGACATCCATCCAAAAGTATAGACAATGGCCCAGAGTACGCCCCATTCACAAATAGCAAGAAATATTCATTTCCTGTACTATTGGAGCAGAGCATATTGAGTCTCCCAGTAACTCGCCAAGCTTGCTGAGAGGGATAAAGAGGAAGGTAATTCATTGCAGCCCCTGTACATCACACAGATATACAAGCTTCATGTGGACAGTATAGCTCCCTCTGTGTCCTGGAGCTCAATCCCATTGTGATAGCATCTTGCATCACTTCTTCAGAGTAACAAGGGTTGGGCAATAAATGTAACATTGCCACTATTGCCCATATCCCTGAGAATAAACATAAAAAAAGCCTAACAGGAGCACCGACTCTTCATTTCATGTCAAACTCTCACTGTCTTCTTTAACAAATAGATCAGTTTCAGATATTTAAACACATCTCTTTGAAAGACTATTATAGGTTCTGCTGCAAATTCCTCATTTAACATCTGTCACAGCTAGTAAAAATACAATTTTGTTTCCTTCATTTATTTTGTCTCATTATCCTTCAACTGCTTGGAAAAAGCTGTGCTCTGCAGCTCCGTTATATCCACTGAGCTTCCAACACAATCAAACCCAGTCTTGTCGGCTCAGATCTTAATCATCGTATTAGCAAGGAGATAGGGCTGTCTAAGTCGCTCAGTCTATTTAATGGGAAGGAGACAGTCAGGGTTTAAAATCATTACTGCATTGTAAGGTAAACCAAAACATACCAAAACTGTGGCAGTGAGACTCACTCTAATATTGTTATGACAATCCCTTGGGGATGCTGGGTGGCACATGGGGCAGATGGGTGTACTGATGGATGGGCAGTCTCTCCTTCCTCATTGTCACAAACCAGACGCTGGAACTCAATCCCAGGTAAAAGGAATGCAAAATCTTTCACATCCCATCAGCCACGAGAGAGAGAGGTTCAATGGGCATCTTTCAATTGTTGGGTAAAAGGGGAGTGTGGATGCAAAGCAAGACAGTGCTTAACCCCAAATTGAGCCAGTATTATTATAGCTGACATGTGAGTGTTTGGCTGCTGTGAAGAGTTTTGTAGTGCAGTAGTCCCTACTTCTGGGCCAGAAGATGCAAGTTCAAGTCCCACCTGCCATTGAACAGGTGAATTAAAAAATGCTTGTGAATGGTGGATGGACTAATACTACGGGCTGCATCAGTGACCCAATTTGTTTTGTCACGCTGACTTCAAACTCTGTCCCTAAACATCTTCAATTCAGCAAACCCTCTCTCCACTGCAGGAACCTCTCTCAAAGTAACCACATAACCAAGCCCCATTCCTCTGTCCATCTCTGCTGCTTCATAAACAGTACTCACATTATCAAGTCAACAGTTTTGGAAATCCTTAGTATCATCAAAAATTACCAAGAGACATTTCAAAGGACTCCACATAAACATTAATGTAATCAAAACATGGCTCTCCTGTGGTACTGGGTACAGATGAAAGTGTTCTGTTCCTAGCCTATGATGCCCCTCAACCAGAAGAGAAAAAACTAATAGGAACCTCGACCTGATCACTGAACCAAGCAAGGTACGGTTCTGAATATCTAACTGTTTCCAGCAGTCTGGTATCCACACACACATGCATCTGCTTCACAACTCACCGCTGCTACAATAAAGCCATCGAAAGGGTTCATAAAACACAACTCAAACTGTGTGAGGCCATGCCAGTTAAGGTTATTTAAAGCAATTATCACAAGTTAACCACTCAACAACTTTCCATCAAATGTACTCACTGTCTTTGTGCACACTCAAGGTATGGGGCAGTGCTCCAGCCCAGGACCACCGCTGCTGACGGATCTCTGCCCAGGTTTTCTTGGTCGAGCGCTGTACCACAGCTTCATAACGCTCCTACAGAAACAGACCAGAGGAAGGACTCAAAGATAGTGCCTAAGAGGACAACAGGTCACAGAGTCAACTTTCAGTGGATTCGTTACTTGTTCTCTTCATTAGTTCAGGATTGACAGTCAGAAATGTTGATCCTTACAGCAGAATCAAGCTAACAAATATGGAGTGAGATATTCAGACATAAAGAAGACAGTTATATTCATTGAAGGCAAATAGGAAGGAAACAGAAAAAGTTGTTTGGTTCATTATTTCTTGTCACATGTTGATATCTTTGTTAAACATATGCAGTTGTTAAAAGAAAACATTTTCTTTCATGAAAATTACTTTGGTAAGATAAATCATATATGTCTTAGTCGTGATTTCACTAAAAAAAAGTATGCAGCCTGGCCCGTTAAACTTCCAGGTTGATTTGGGTTTAGTTATATGGTGTTCTGTTACATGCACCATTTTATATTTTAATGTATAATGTGCATTCTTTTTTGAGTGGGGAGGGAATGCAGTGTACTTCAAGATCTGAGCATTTTGTTATATTGCTGATCTGCTGTTGAGATGGTGTGTTAGTGTAACAATGGCAATCTGCATCTAAACATGGGCTCATCTTATTCACTGCAATACACAACGGTAGGAAAAAAAAAACACAATCCTTAATAGCAGTTGTCTAAAAGCTTGACACTTCCCAGATTCTATCCTGTGGGATTCAAATCAGGACAATTTGAGCATTGTAGTTGGCACAAGGAATATAAAAGAGTGGAATAAAGTCAGCAACCTTCCAACTAAGCAATTGTCATTGATATGAAATTGGTCTTCAGCAGTAGAACAAAGAAACATGTAAAACATGAGGTACATTTGCTAACACCCCTAGGAAGTTACAGTCAAACTCCTATTTGACATTGCTAAATTTTAGTCATCATAGCAACTGGTCCCAAAGTCACTTGGAAAAAGGAAAACAAAATGATCTGGTGCTGTCTAATTGCGATATTATTTCTTCAAGGATATGTTCATAGTCATAGTAATACGCAAACTTCATTTTAACTGGCACTTTTGATAAACTGGCAAAAATTATATATTTCAAATACCGTGAAATTTACTGTATTAATTTGTCCAATTATTACAGTTTTTAAAAAAATTTATTCACCTCAATGACAATTGAATGGCCACATGAAATATCAACAGCTAATTCAATTTCAAGTCAATTTCTCCTCAAACATATCATCAGTTGATCCAATTTAGAGTCAATTACTCCTCAATTACTGTGATGTCCGAGTAGTCAGTTGAGCATGCGAATGAGAGGGCTCTCTGCCAATAAGTTTTATTTAAGGCAAAGTTGTATTATTATTTCAGCAATGTATGTTGCAAATAAAGTCTAACAGTGATGTGTATACCCCTGCATTGTGTTTCTATTACTTAGTGCTTGTTTTTACAATGAATACGTGGACCTCTTGACCAACCAGAATATTTGATCAACCAGTACACTCCTAGTCCCATAGGTGTCAGATAATAAAAAGTTTACTGTACTTGGAAGAGCTCTGGTTCAAATTGTGATGATTAAGATTTTATTGCACAGCTATCTTAATTGGGTCTATCTTCCCATACTGGGCCATGAGGATTGTGGCCTCCTTACTGAAAGGAAGAAGAAATGGATGAGGTAGCTGTATAGTTACCTGGGCCAAGAATCATTAAGTTTCGTCCATATTGGAGTCTGGAGATCTATTACTAGTCAAACACAGAGTTCAGGCTCCCACAGGAACACATTACATCGTTTCTTTAAAAATTCAATTATAGGATGATGGCTAGGCCAGCATTTATTGCCCATCCCTAATTGCCCAGAGGACAGATTCAGAGTCAACTACATTGCTGTGGGTCTGGAGTCACATGTAGGCCAGACCGGATAAGGATGGTAGTTTCCTTCCCTAAAAGGACATTAGTGGGCTAAATGGATTTTTCCTGATAATTGACAATGGAGTCACTGTCATCATTACACTCTTAATTCCAGATTTTTTTCATTGATTTCAAATTCCATCATCTGCCTTGGTGGGATTTGGACCCATATCCCCAGGACATTACCTGGTTTACTGGATTAAATAATTGAGCGATAACTCCATCAGACCATCGCCTCCCCCTTTCTGGCACTGCCAGGCCTTCAATGATGCTGATTTCTACAGGCAGGCTGGTACACACCTTGTTTTTCTGAAGCTTTAGTCGCTGTCTTTCCTCGAGTATAGCTCGCCTCTTCTCTATTTTCAGCCTCTGTTCCTCTAGCCTCTTCCTGCGATCTTCCATTTGTTTCTCTCGGAGCATTTTTGCCTTTTCTTCCCTTTCCAGCCATATTGACTTCTTAGCAGCTAACGGAAATAAAAAGGAGACCCCAGAGAGACAGAGAAAAGGGAGCAGGAAAGACAGACAGAGAGGGGGAGAAATGAAGTGGGGATGCCAAAAGATGGAGAACAGGAAATCAAAAGGGAGAAGGAAAGAAGGAATGGAATAGGAAGAAAAGGGATAGAGGGAAAGAAGAGAGAATATACGAGGAAGAGAGAGAGAAGGGAAGAAGAAGAAAAAGAAGAAAAGAAGAGAAAGAGGAGAGAGAGAGGGGTGGAGAAAATGAGGAATGAAGAGAGGGAAAAATGAAAGAGACAGAAAGAGGAGAAACAAAAACAAAGATAAATTATAAGATGTTATTATTTGTCAACCACACTGAATTGGCGAGAGACCATTTGCTTCCCTCCCTCTGTCTGGTTCAGTAAATGGGAATCCCACAGATTATAGGGTGTGAGAAGGATAGATTTATGGCAAAGGAAGTGAAACCATCATTTATCATGACAGGAACTGAAGCAAGTTTCTGCTCCTAGCTGCATATGCCATTGAGAGTGTTGCTGGAATCCTCAGTAAGATGCTGAGGATGGTGGGTTTTTTTTTATATTATTATAGACACACCCCACTGCAGCTACTTGTGTTTAGAACTGACCCAAATAAAGACTCCTGTTCCAATTACTTCAAAACCAAACAGAGAGGGACAAAGTAAAAGACTTGCATTTATCTAGCACTCTTCATAACCATCAAATGTCTCACAGTGCTTTAAGGCCAATGAAATACTTCCAAGGTGAAGTGACTGTGCTGTTGCAAACAGGAGAGCCAATTTGCACACAGCAAGATCCCACAAATAACATGACAACAAGCAGACAGTTTTTGTGATGTCGCTTGAGGAATCAATATTGGCCAGGCCCACTGAGGATAAATACCCTGCTCTTCTTCATAATAAAGCCGTGGGATCATCTCCATCTATTCAAGCAAGCATATAGGGCCTCAATTTAATGTTTTATCCCTCAATAGAGCATCATTCCTCAGAGAGTAGGCTTTGGTTTGCCGGCTTAGAACGTTGAGCCACAAGGATGGGACTCAGAGGCGAGAGTGTACCAAATGGGCCATGTCTGACACTGCAAAAGAATGAAATAAATTACATGGAGACTGAGTCTTCCACATGAAGATATTGATGGGATGCAGGGAGACTGGAGACAACCTCGTGAGGAAACAAGGGCTCTCTTCAGCTGCATTAAATGTCTCAGATTAAGCCAACTTCAAGGTGGTGCTACACAGCAAAGGAGGATGGGAGGCATGAAGGGGCAGATGCAAGTATTGGCGTGCCCTGACTCTGTGACACAGTGGGCTTTGGAGACAAATCCAGGCTGACAGGCCACATCCTCTCATCAGGGTATGTATTACCAGACTCTAGGATCATGATGGAGGAGTAGATATGACTGGGGAGGGAGGTTAGCACTCAGATAATTCACCAACAATTATTAAACTCAAGAAGTAAGTCACCATACATCGGAGCTGATAAATAACTCAAAGCCAGATTAACACAAGCAGGAGGTAACATAAGGTTCAGTCAGAAAACTAAACATGACTGTGCACTTTATATTCTCCAATTTGGGTATTTAATTAATGAGGCAGCTCTTGGCTACAATAATAGTCCACACAGCCAGAATAGTAACAGACAGAAGCTCCTGGAATGAAGAACAGGCATGGAGGTGAGCGAGGTGTTTTTGGGGGTTGGCGGTCCTGGGTGAGGTGTAGATAGTACTTTCAAACTCTCTCCTCACCTCTCTCTACTAACTTATCCAAGTGATCAGTTTTCAGTTGCAAGTCTAGAGAGTAAGTGTCACCAAGCTATTCAGGTAGGTCTCCCGTTGTGATACATATTCATCCATCACTTGTAGATAAAGCCGCTCCAATGGCTGATTAGTTCCGGTGCAAGCCTACAACCTGCTCAATGACAATTCACAATTGCCCACTGTGCCAGTGAGTATGCCCTGAACCACACCAGCCTTGCCAATGCCAGCTTTAATCCCCAAGTGAGCAAATGGCTCTGGTCTGCACTGAGCTACTACAGTGGGAACTCAAGAGAGACAAAGAGGCCTAGCCAAGGCTTCACTAACTGTTGGCTGTCCATGGAAACTACAGTGATTTCTTTGAAATATGTGTCAGTGTGTCAGTGTAACATGTTCAGGAGGAACGGAATCTACTGTTCTCAAACCCCTTCCCTACATTGTGTCTGTTTCTGTTATAGATTAATTGATAAAGACTGACCACTAATGAAAATCAAGACTGGCATGATCAATTTACCAAATTACCAGTTTAGACCTCACCTTTCTCTTGTGTGTCAATTGCTGCATTGTGATCTACCTGACCACTCATGGAGGACCTGCATTTCCCTGCACTGACCTGCACCCACCCAGGGGGGAGGTGAAAGCTTCGTACAGGAGCAGCTCCTCAGCTATACTAAGCCTTAGGAAGGCTCATCTGAGACACTGAATGCAGCCTAACACCTCAGGAAAAACATGATGTACTTGGAAAGCATCCAGCACAGATTATCCAGAAATATAGCGGAACATATACGGTTCAATTATGGGTCAAGAAAGGATAAATATGGTGCATTCTCCCTTGATTTAGAATGCTGTTGGAGGATCTGATTAGGAGGTTTAAAGTGATAAATGACCTGAAGGAAAGGCAAACTATTCCCTCTGATATTGGAATCCAGAGCAAGAGGCGAACAAGCTCCACATTAAGGCAACACCAGTTAGGGGTGAAAACAGGTAATTTTTTTCTCATATAAAGAAGGTAGCGAGGTCTGTCCTCCTCTCAAAGATAAGTGGTTGCTATCAGACAACTGGAACTTCCAAAGCCGATAGGCCATTGTACGTTTTGTTTTATATTCACTCGTGGGATGGCCAAGGCAGCATTTCTTCGCCTTCCCTAATTAGAACTATAGAGATCTACAGCACAGGAAAAGGACTTTCAGCCCATCGAGGCTGTGCCAGTCAAAAACAACCATCTAACTATTCCAATCCTGTTTTCCAGCACTTGCTCCATAGCCTTGTATACCTTGGCATTGCAAGTAATCATCTAAAAACAGCTTAAATTGTATGAAGGTTTTTGTCTCTATTAACTTTAAATGCAGTGAGCTCCAGATTCCCACTACCTTATGGGTGAAAAAGTTTTTCCTCACATCTCTAAATCTTCTGCCCCTAACGTTAAATCTATGCCCCCTCATCACTGATCCCTCCACCAAGGGGAAATGTTTCTTCCTATCTATGCTCATAATTTTATACATTTCAATCATGCTCCCTCGCAATCTCCTCTGCCCTAAGGAAAACAACCCTAGTCTGTCCAATCTCTCTACCCAACTGGAACGATCCAGCCCAAGCAACATCCTAGTAAATCTAAAAACCGAAAGAACTGCGGATGCCGTATATCAGAAACAAAAACAGAAGTTGCTGGAAAAGCTCAGCAGGTCTGGCAGCATCTGTGCAGAGAAATCAGACTGAATGTTTCGGGTCTGTGACCCTTCCTCAGATGGTGGGAGTCATTGATGAAGCAATTGAAGTTGGTTGGGGACAGCTAATAATACCAACAACAGCTTCAAGGTCAATAGCTTTCTCCTGTGAGGAGAAAGAGGACAATGAAAAGGAACTGGCAATTCTAAAGAATCTTCTGTCCTTAGGCCATCCAAAATCACTTCACAAGCAGAAATAAAATCTCAAAAGTGTGACACCTCAAAAGTAATTGAGGCATTCTTGAATTATTTAAATCCTTGTTAAAAGTGAAAAAAAACATTCAGATTAATTTTAGGTTCTCGCCCTAGCCCGATAACCAAAAGAGCTCTCAGGAACAGTCATGGAGAAGAAACCAACTTCCATTTCTATCAGCCATTCAGAAGTGGAAGGGCAGCTTTAATTAACTGGCTAAACACATAAAAGAACGTTCTTGGTAATGAGCTGGGTGAGAATTTCCCTGAGGGAGCAATACATTGGTTCAGGGGGACATTAAAGTAATTTACTCACTTGTTTGTCAAGATTTTGACAGGATTTTAACAAGTTTTCATGATCCAGAGCATAGGAGTCATTGTTTAAGAAGATAAAAACATGTAGACAATCTGCGTCACCAGTCAGTCAATCTCCACCTCACGTTTCCACTTCCATCTCCCCAGTTCCGTGAGAAAGCGAGTACCTGTCTATCCCAACCTTAAACATATTCAGTGATGGAGCCACACACTGCACTCTTGGTAAATGATTTCAACGTTTCAATGTCATGTATATCATTGGTCAAATGATCATCTTGTGCCTAGATTTCTCCTAGAAACAACCTCCGAGTGTCTACCCTGTCAAGCCCCTTTGGGATCTTGAATCTTTCAATGAGATCGCGCCCCTCCTTCTTGTAAACTCCAGGAAGCACAGGCCCAGTTTGCTTCGGCTCTCACCGTAGTCTCAATTCGGTGAACCTTCCTGCACTGCTTCCAAAGCAAGGATTGCCTTCTTTAAATAACTGTGCAAAAAGACCAGGCACGGTATTCCAGATATGGTCTCAAAGCCTTCTACAACTGTAGCCAGGCTTCCTTCGTTTATTACCCCAATGCCCTTAAAAGTGCTATTTGCCTTCCCAGTGCATGCCAACTGGCTGCATTCCTTGTCTAAGTACATCCAATTTTCCACTGAATATCAACATTTCTAAGTTTTACACCTTTTAAGAAATACTTTGCTTTTCTAGTCTCTCTCCAAAAGTGAATAAATTCACAATGCTCCACATCTGTGATTGTATAAACTGAGGTTCCAGCACTGAGTCTTATGGCACTCCATTAGTCACTGCTGGCCAACATGAAATGGTTTCCAGTCCATTAATGGTCCCCATTAGCAGCTATCCATTCTCCCAGGCAGATCTTTACCCATTCCTTTCACCAATTGTTTTTCTCTCTCTCTGGGCTCTAACTCCACCTATCATTTACTTCCTTCCCCACCCCTTCTCCAGCATATATACCAACCATTTCCCAGCTACAATCAGTTCTGAAAAAGGGTCACTGGACCTGAAACGCTAACTCTGCTTTCTCTCCACAGATGCTGCCAGACCTGCTGAGTTTCTCCAGCAATTTCTGATATTGTTTCGGATTTCAAGCATCTGCAGTTCTTTCGGTTTTTTGAAATTGTTTCATTTAACTCTACTGTATGATTTCTTGCCTGTTAACAATCCCCAAACCTTTACGATATACTACCTCCATCTCAAACAGCCTTTATCTTGTGTATCAGCCTTTTGTGTGGCCTCTTATATCTTTTGGAAATTGAAGTGTACTACGACTACTCGATCTCTTTCATCGAGCCACATTCCCAAAAAACTCCACTAAATTTGTCAATGAATTCTTCATAAATCCATGTTAATTCTATCTGATCATACTGTAATTTACTGAATGCATTGTTAACAAATTCTAGCATTTCCCCAATGACTGATGTTTTCCTTTGTATATACAATTCTCACAGTCCAGTAGATTATCCGTTAGCCCCTCGAATTTAATACATCAGTTAATTTCTGAGGGAACACTGCACTACGAGAAGTTCAGTGAAACAGAAGCCTTCTCAGGATGGGGGAGAAAAGAATCCAACAGCCCCTTTTCACCAACTAAATATTAGGAACGCCGAAGCCACTGCCTTTGATCCCTCCCAAACTCCATTTTAGACATCATCTGTATTTCTCACAGCTGTCTGAACCAGTCCCAGAGTGTTTGCGATCTTGACGTGGTGTTTGATCCCAAGACCACCATATATCTGCTCCGTCACCAAGATTGCTTCAGACTCACCTGCTGCTGAAACCCTCAACTGGGTTTTTTCAAAAACCTTTCAGTTTGACTACTCCAATGCATCCCTGAGCGGTATCCCACATTCCTGCCTTCATAACTTTGAGATCATCCGCAAAACTCCGCTGCCCTTCTCCTAGCTCACACTCAATCTGGTTCTGGTATCACCAACGGTGCTGACTCCTAATCCAAAGTGTCTCAATTTTCAAATCCTGCATTAATCAAGTTCATTAATGGCCTTGCTCCTCCCTGTCTCTAATCTCCTGCAGCCCCAAAACCATCTGTCTTTGGTCCTGAAATTCTGGCCTCTTGATAATCCCTGATTTTGATCACTTCCATCACCTGGTGGCTGTGACTTCAGGCCTATTCCCCTGAGCTATGGGATTCCATTCCTGAGCCTTTTCCGTTTCCCACCTCCCCTTCACTTTATAAAACACTCCTTAAAAACTACATTTTGACAAAGTTTCTGGTTATTTGCCCTACTAAATCCCCATGTGACACAATATCAAGTAAGAGAATAAAACAGAGCAGCAGAAGTAGACCATTGGCCCATCGAGTCTGCTCCACAATCCAATGAGGTCATGGCTGATTTGATCATCCTCAACTCCACTTTCCTGCCTTTTCCCCAAAGCCTTTGATTCCCTTACTGATTAGAACTCTGTCTATCTCAGCCTTGAATATACTTAACAATTCATCGTCTTCTGCTCTCTGAGGCAAATAGTCTCACAGATTCAACATTCTCTGAGAAATTCCTCCTCAACGTTACTCTCAGATTAGCTCCTCTGGTCTTAGACTCTCCAACAAGGGAAACAGACTCTCTACATCCAGCATGTAAAGCCCCCTAAGACTTTTATATACTTATTGTCTGATTCTCCAAAACTCCAATGATTACACACCCAAACAAGTCAACCTCTCCTCATAATAAAATCAATCCATTTCCAGAATCAACCTAATGAACCATCTCTGGACTGCCTTTAGTACATCTTTCCATAAAACATAAGAGCAGAAATTAGGCCATTCAGTTCATCGAGTCTGCTCCACCATTCAATCATGGCCGATAAGTTCCTCAACCCCATTCTCCCGCTTTCTCCCCGTAACCCTTGATCCCCTTGGTTCCTTAGTTAACGGACCAAAACCGCTCACAGTGTTCCAGCCCAACTAGTGCCTTACATAGTATTAGCAAATCTTCTATTGTTATACTCCACTCCCTTTGAAATGAAGGCCAACAGTTTATTTGACTTCCCTATTACCTACGGAACCTGGACACTATCCCCTAAATCATTCTGTACTGTAGTTTTCTGCAATCTTTCTCCATTTAAATAATATTCAGCTTTTATATTCTTCCTTCTAGGTGGCAATGTCTGTGGGATTGGAAGATGTTGTTGAAGGAACCTTGGTGAGTTGCTGCAGTGCATCTTGTGGATGGTACACTGCTGGCACGAGGTGCCAATGGTGGTGAATCGGGTAGTGATCCAGCAGCTGCTTTCTCCTGGGTGGTGCTGAGACCCTGGAGTGCAGGCGGAGCTGCACTCATCCGTCACACTCCTGTCTTATACTTTGCAGGCTGTGGACAGGCTTTGGAGGGGTGTCCCTTTCTACAGAAGAGGCCAGCCCTGTCTTGTTCCTGCTTTTTTCTGCCTGCTCCCCGTTGAGTTTCTGGCTGATTGTGATCCCAGATGATGGTGGAGAACAGGAATGGCATCGGACTATGGAACCACATTATCATATGTGATAGTGATTAGAGAAAATCTTATAAAAGGTTTATCCAATCCTGCTGGCCAGAATAGCTTACACTAACTTTCTTGGAAACCACTGCATATTTATATAAA